AAACAAACAACCCAATCAAGAAATGGGCAGAAGGCCTAAATAGACATTTCTCCACAAAAGACATACAGATGGCCAAGAGGCACATGAAAAGATGCTCAACATCACTAATTATTAGAGAAATGCAACTCAAAATTACAATGAGATATCACCCCACACATGTCAGAATGGCCATCATCAAAAAGACTACAAATAATAAATGCTGGAGAGGGTGTGGAGAAAAAACCTTCCTACACTGTTAATGGGAATGTAAATTGGTGCAGCCACTATGGAGAACAGTATGGAGATTCCCTTAAAACTAAAAGTAGAGCTACCACATGATCCTGCAATCCCACCCCTGGGCATATATCCAGAGAAAACCATAATTTGGAAAGATACATGCACCCCAATGTTCATTTCAGCACTATTTACAACAGCCAAGACATGGAAGTAATCTAATTGTCCATCAAATGACAGATGAATGGATAAAGAAGATGTGGTACATTGGAATGGAATGTTACTCAGCCATTAAAAAGAATGAAATAATGCCATTTGCAGCAACATGGATGGCCCTAGAGATTATCATACTAAAGTGAATAAGTCAGACAGAGAAAGACCTATAGCATATAATATTGCTTATATGTGGAACCTAAAAAAAAAGAACTTATATACAAAATATAATTAGACCCACAGACATAGAAAACAAATTTATGGTTTACAAAGTAGAAGCGGGGATGAGGGATAAATTAGGAGTTTGGGATTAACATATACATACATACTAATCATAAAATAGATAACCAACAAGGACCAACTATATAGCACAGGGAACTATATTCAATATTTTGTAATAACCTATAAGGTAAATGAATCCAAAAAGGAATATATGTGTGTGTGTGTGTGTGTGTGTATACATATAAATCACTTTGCTGTACACCTGAAACTAACACAACATTGTAAATCAACTATCCTTCAATAAAAAAAAAAAAATTGCAAGTTCTGATGTTGAAGCTGCAGCAAATTATTCAGAAAATCTAGCTAAGCTAATTAAGAAAAGTGGCTACACTAAATATTTTCAATGTAGATGAAAAGCCTTTTAGTGGAAGAAAATGCCATCTAGGACCTTCGTAGTTAAAGAGGAGAAGTCAGTGTCTGGCTTCAAAGCTTCAAAGGACAGGCTGACTCTCTTGTCAGGCTGATGCAGCTGGTGACAATAAGTTGAAGCTAATGCTCATTTACCATTCTGAAAATCCTAGGGCCCTTAAAGAATTATGCTAAACTACTCTGCCACTACACTATAAATAGAGAAACAAAGTCTGGATGACAGCACATCTGTTTACAATATGGTTTACTGAGCATTTTAAGGCCACTGTTGAGACCTACCACTGAGAAAAAAAAATTCCTTTCAAAATATTACTGCTCATTGATAATGCATCTGGTGACCCAAGAGCTCTTATGGAGATATACAATGAGATTAATGTTTTCACGCCTGCTAACACAACATTCATTCTGCAGCCCATGGATCAAGGAGTAATTTTGACTTTCAGGTTTCATTTTTTACGAAATAGATTTCATAAGGCTGCCATGGATTGTGATCCCTCTGATAGATCTGTGCAAAGTAAACTGAAAACCTTCTGGAAAGGATTCACCATTCTAGATGCATTAAGAACATTCATGATTCATGGGAAGAAGTCAAAATACCAAAATTAACAGGAGTTTGAAGAAGTTGATTCTAACCCTCACGGATGACTTTGAGGTGTTCAATTTCAGCGGAGGAAGAAAATGCAGAAGTGGTGGAAATAGCAGGAGAACTAGAATTATAAGTGGAACCTGAAGATGTGACTGAATTGCTGCAATCTTATGATAAAACTTCAATGGATAAGGAGTTGCTTTTTATGGATAAGCAAAGAAAGTTGGTTTCTTGACATGTAATCTATTCCTGGTGAAGATGCTGTGAAGATTGTTAAAACGATAACAAAGTATTTAGAATATTACATAAATTTAGTTGATAAAGCAGCCGCAGGGTTTGAAACGATCGACTCCAATTTTGCAAGAAGTTCTACTGTGGGTAAAATGCTACCAAACTGCATTGTGTGTTACAGAGAAATGGTTCATGAAAGGAAGAATTGATTGATGCAGCGAACTTCACTGTTGTCTTATTTTAAGTAATTACCACAGACACCCTAACCTTCAGCAAGCACCTCCATGATCAGTCAGCAGCCATCAAAAGGGAGTCAAGATGCTTCACCAGCAAAATTATGACTTGCTGAAGGCTCAGATGATGGTTAGCATTTTTTAGCAATAAAGTGTTTTTTTAAATTAAGATATATCCTTTATATAGACATAATGCTACTGCACACTTACAGAATAGTGTAAACATAACTTTTATTTGCACTGGAAACCAAAAAAATTGTGTGACTTGCTTTATTGCAATATTTGCTTTATTGAAGTAGTCTGGAACTGAACTTGTAATGTCTCTGAGGTAGCCTGTATTTTATTCCCACCATACTTCTAGACCTCAGTTCTCTCATTTGTAAAACAAGATTATTGAAATAGAAGATTTCAAGCACTGGTCCTCAATGCCAGTCCACGCCATGTCATGTCTGGTCTACTGTAAAATGGTGGGGCGGGGGTGGGGGAGGGCAGCAGGGGAGATGACATTGTTCATATGCATAAGTTTTAATAGTCTTACTTGGCAAAATAAGCTTACATGTTCCAGGAACTGTGCTAGGCACTTTACCTCTGTAATCCCAACAGCAACCCTAAGAGGTAGGTATTATTACTATTATACCTCTTTACATGAAGAACCACAGTTTATAGAAGTCCCCAAGGATATATAGCTACTAAGTGGTAGATTCAAACCCCAGAGTCTATTAGCCTCCAAATCTCAGACGCAATCAAGTATGCAGCCAACTAGCTCCACTCTTTCTCCAGGACTTCTCAAATTTTCCATTAACTAGTCATAGATATTGCTTCTCCTTTTAACCTTAAATTCTGTGTCCTCCAAGTGTTGCTAAAATTTGTCCGTATTCTTTCTCTCTCTCATATATGGACACACAGACACACACACAACACACAACACACACCTTACTTCCCTTCCTAATTCTATCTACTGAAGTAAAAAGGACTTTTATTAACCTTGATTTTTTTGTTTTGTTATGTTTTATTTCTTTCAATCTCCACAGGAATGTCCAGTTCCTGTTAAAGGTGGCTACCCAAGAGAATAGATACACTGACATCCTGTTTTAGGTGACATGAGGAGAATGAATAACAGTTAAATTGAGTAGGAAACAGTAATAGTGAACGTAAGAGAACTGTTCTCTTGGGCCCTGGTCCACTATATCTGTCTATTATATCTGTTCTTTTCAACATAGAATTTCTCCAGAGAAGCTGCCAGTTGCCTAACACCTACCTCTTCATTCATAAATTTAAGATCACATTACACTGTAAACATTAGCAGGTCATATGTTACAGCATTCCTCAAAGGCTTTTTTTTTTCAATTTTTTCTTCCCTTGTAATGTTACTAATTCCATACAAGGCAATCTGATTAAATACTATTCATACTCTCTAGAATATTCACAATTATTTACATTTCTTTACTTAACAGGGGTAGTAATGATGTAAAAATTTCAGCACAATTTTCTTTATGTCCAAAAGTAGCTAGCTTATTTGTAGCCAAATTTTATTGACCCTATATGAACTCATCACTTCTAAATAACCAGCTTGAGGCTGCTGGCTAAATCCATAGTGACTTTGAGATTCTTTCATAATTGACCTACTCTGTTCTGTTTACTTCCACATGTAAATATAAAGCTTTAAATCTCCTTTCTTTCTTCTCATTAAAGAACAAAGTTTGTATGGGTGAAGGAAGAGGTGAAAAATTTCAACACTAATGCCAAATCCAAGGAAGGCTTTAAGACACTTTTATTTTTTTAAATTGCTATTTGTGTCTAACAATTCTTATTTGCTTGCCAACTCTAAAAGGAGCACTAAGGAAGTTGATATTAATTAAATTTACTATTTAAGTGTTCAACTGAAAAAGAAAATAGCTAGTTTTGTAGGTATCATCTATTTACACAATAAAGTTCTCTAAAAGATGTCCCTTATAGAAAAAGTATTTACAATGATATATATTGCTTCATGACTTAAGGTTTTAGCTTATGACTTTTCCATAAAACATATTATAAAGCCCCCAGTATTCATCTTTCAGGGTTCTTAGAGACACAATAATCATTGGCTGACCTTTTTTTAGGCTTTTTCTAAAGAGGAAAAACTACAAATACCAAAAATTAAATTAATATTTAATTTCAAATTTTGACACAGATTGAAATTTTAAAAATAAAGCCTAACCATGAAAGTAGAAATATATTTAATTTAACCAGTCTACTCTTTATACCAGTTTATTACTTAAAACTGTAAAAATCTTACTTAAAATTGAGTTGCTCTTCCCAAAGTTCAGTAAAAAAATATGCCCATCGTTTTTTTGAATATTTCACTGAATTAATATCAAATAAATGGAATAATATACCAAGCTGTTAATAAACACTTTGACACAAATGTCAATAATAAATGCACAATCACGAAAGCCCAGAAAAATTATATCAACATCCTACAGACGTAAAACAAGTTTAAATAATTTTCCACATAATAAGTACAAAGTTCACATTTGTAGTGAACTTCAGTATATTTCATTTTGGTGATAATCAGAATGGATTTCGTTGAGATGTGGATAGACACTGAAGGTAATTGTAAATGACTGTCCATGGTCAGTCTCATTTTAGAAAGTAAAGAGCCAAATGGCATTACATTTAAATTCATCATGAAATTTTCATAATGGAGTTAGCTTTAAACACCTGGAGGCATCCTTGTATGATAAAAGAGAAATAGCCAGAGGGAAGAAAGGATAAAAAAAATGGGCATTTCGGTATCCAGCCCACATCTACTTGTAAGTAACATTATTGGAGTACTTTTTTAGGGAGATGTCAGATAATAATTTCTGCTTTTATTAATGAAAATCTCCACTTACCGTAGCTTCATTGCAAACCGTGCACTTAACCACATGCTGGTGAAGCTTGCCATCCAAATTGATGAGAGATTGGCACACGCGGCAGTTTATTACTGGAATACCACTGGCATCTGGACTGGCAATGGCTGTATACGGAGGTGGGAGTTCCGCTAAAAAGATATTAGCCACTGAATCAAAGTCTCAGAGATATTACCGCTGGTTTGAGCAAATAAGCAATAGAAGTAAAGAAGGAAAACTATCAAAATTCTCCTGTTCTTTATGTTTTTAAAGCTGGCCAACATAATATAGTTTCAGAGCAGAAACACATATAGGACTATATTGTGAAGTAAAATAATTCTTAGCTCCTAAAATCCAAATCACAGCTGCCTAGGTTTACACCTTTTATTAACCTATACTCGAAATATTCACTCCATTTCTATGTGCAAATTCATAGAGTTTGTAATAGGAAGGTGATAATTTATGCCTAAAAGTAAAAATCTTACACTAATGATCTGACTCCCAAGAAACAGAAATAGTCAATCAAGACAAAGCTTTAAAATCACTTGCATATATACATATACATAAATTGTGTAGCTGTCGTGCTCTGTTTATACTAGAAGCAGTATAATAACTGCTGAGTATGACAAGAACAAAATAGGGTTTTGGTGGCAGTCAAGGAGAAACAAAAACGAACTCAGGAAAACTAAACATATCAACATGGAACATGTTCTAATTAGAATGGAATTATGCTAATTTCAGAGAAAAAACAAGAATGAAGTAAATTTAACAATTTTTGTCTCAAACTTTCACCTAACATTAAAAATCTAGAAAATGTATCAAAGTATTTATGGGTAAAAAATATATTGTCTGGGGTTTAATTTAAATACTCCAAGAAAAAAAATGGGTTAATAGATGCAAGAAGAGTAGCAAAATGTCTATATTTATGAATATAAAGACACAGAAGGTCATTCTGCTCTTACTACTTTTGTGTATGCTTGAAAATTCTGAAAATACAAAGATACACACACACACACACACACACACACACACACACACACACACTGCTTTTTGAGAGTCCTTAAGTTGACTGACTGGGTAGAGGGTAGAAGCCCAATTTCAGAATTGTGTTCATCTACCAGCAGTATATATTTGTTACAAAAGTTAGAGAAAAAGAATCTAGATATACTATTCCAGAATGGGATTTCTAAAGGCGACTGCCAAACCTCATTTTGTAGCTATCTTAATTACAGGGATAGGAGCCCCTTTCAAGGTAAGATTTTGTCATAGGCCATCTAGAAAAGGCTACGCCTCAACACATGATTGAATCCCCACTAAAGAGAACTGATAGTTCAAGGGGTTACTGTGACACTATAAAATACAATAACAATACTTAATCATGAAAAGAGCTATTTTTGAAATAGAGATTTTTCTATCCACTGGATTAGATTCTGAACTCTATGATAGTCTGAAATGAGTTAGAGCACAGCACATTATGGCATGTTTAAAATCCACATATTACCACCTGGCATCCTTAGGGTATATCAGGTAGATTTTTTAGACTTGCAAAGAATTAACAACAAGTGTTATCCATTCAAATATTCATAATAAACCAAATTTCTGCAGCAGCCAAGGCTCTGAAAGAGGTCACATTGAAATGACAATATGCACACATCCCTGGAAGTCTTACACCAGAACACTGCCAAACACTGAATTTAAAAAGAAGCTATAGATGTCTAAATTATAAAAATAGTTTTATAATTTATAAAACTATAAATTAGGTACATGAAAAGCTGCTCAACATCACTAATTATTAGAGAAATGCAAATCAAAACTACAACGAGGTATCACCTCACACCAGTTAGAATGGGCATCATCAGAAAATCTACAAACAACAAATGCTGGAGAGAGTGTGGAGAAAAGGGAACCCTCTTGCACTGTTGGTGGGAATGTAAACTGATACAGCCACTATGGAGAACAGTATGGAGGTTCCTTAAAAAACTAAAAATAGAATTACCATATGACCCAGCAATCCCACTACTGGGCATATACCCAGAGAAAACCATAATTCAAAAAGACACATGCACCCCAATGTTCAATTGCAGCACTATTTACAATAGCCAGGTCATGGAAGCAACTTAAATGCCCGACAGATGAATGGATAAAGAAGATGTGATACATATATACAATGGAATATTACTCAGCCATAAAAAGGAACGAAATTGGGTCATTTATAGAGACATGGAATGGCCATAGAGACTGTCATACAGAGTGAAGTAAGTCAGAAAGAGAAAAACAAATACCGTATATTAACGCATATATGTGGAATCTAGAAAAATGGTACAGGTGAATCAGTTTGCAAGGCAGAAATAGAGACACAGATGTAGAGAACAAATGTATGGACACCAAGGGTGGTGGGGGTGGGATGAATTGGGAGACTGGGATTGACATATATACACTAATATGTATAAAACAGATAAGTAATAAGAATGTGCTGTATACAAAATAATAAATAAAATTCAAAAAGCAAACAAACAAAAAATAGTTTTAAATCCTTGAAAGAATTTAAGGTTGATGCAGAACGACCTGTAATGTATTAATCAAGAAGAAAAAACAGGTTAAAGGATCAATGTGTCAAAATACATTTGAGCCTGTGCAACTCGCAGATTACTTTATCAGATCTCAGTAAAGAAGGTATTGTTCTGGGAAAAACACCTCACTAGAAATTCAGGACACACTGCCTGGTGTGTAATAATAAATTTTTAAAAATAATTATTAGCAATAGCATTATTAATAAAAGTTTCTTCTTTTACCTTTTCCTTGAGTTATAAAGTAACATAAAGTAGGTCTCCCATTAATTCCAGGTTTCCACCTTACATAGTGTGATAGAAAAGAAATTTAAAGACAAGATAATTTCACAAAGAAAACAAGGGCATTGAGGGTGAGGGGAAGAGGCCACACATTGCAGCTACATATAAGGATGGTAAAACCCATTCATTCCAACAGGCAAAAGTTTTGCTCAGTGGAATATCCTAAAGATTTTAGTGGTTGATCTTTTTTGGTTCTGATACATTTGAAGTGTATCAGAACCAACAAGACCCTGTGAACTTTTCCTCTAAGATTTGTACTATATAATTTTTAACCTGTAAAAAAAGAAAAGCTTTCAATGACAAAAATATGCCAGAATCTTCTGGAGGCTTGGGAAGTGGAAGGAGGGGGAAAGAATGAGTGAGGATTAGAAGTCTAAAATGGGAAAGACTATAAGCTCCATGAGGCCAAGGTCATGTTTGGCTTATTCAGGACTGATAACAGCACTTGTTATAAGTGCTTGGTCTATGACAGGTGCTCACTAAATATTTACTGAATGGATGATGAATGAATAAATGAATGAATAACTGAATCACTGAAATTTATCAGGCTCATCTATTTCTCCTGGGAAAATTATACTAAGTATATTACCACTACTCTCCTTGAAGAGGAGCTAGGGTCCTAGCAGGGGAGTACAGCATGAGTGAAAAAAAGGCTCTCTTCTATATATAGAATACCCTCTCCAAATCATGCACTGAGAGAGGGAAATGGACAGGGGACACTGGCCTGGCCCACCAGATAAGTACAATCAATCCAAGAGATCAATAGAATGACAGAGGTTGCAGCCTAACTGCTCCACTAAACAGTGCTTTCAGGCCTATAATTTCAATTTTCTGTCCATTAATTACTTTAGCACTAAACTGATTTAGAGATATTTCTTGTACTTTTATCCCAAGGAAACCTTGACCTACAACTCCATCTCCTCTTGTAAAGGACTTGTAATTACAGAAATTTATTTCACTGTCAGTAAACCTGCAATAATTAACAACTTAGATTGTTCATTTTGTCTCTTTTCACTTTAAAACAGTCAACAGATCACCATTATTTTACCTATTTTAAATTTCTGCCCTGGATAAAAAGTCCACTGTAATCTCAGAACTTGAGAACTTGAGTCACAAAAGTTCTTCATTTTCAAAGAGTCTTACTTGTTATTTAAACAATGATCATTTTCTCTATGGGGTTTGCCTAAGTGAAAAATCTTTTTTCTCCAAGTAAGCAGTATTTGTTAGACCAGTAGTCCTCAAACCTGAAAAACCCCCTCAAAGTTCCAGAATTATACAGTGTTAGAAATTCAAGCAATCATAGTCTAGTATTTAGTCTAATTTCTTCATTTTATGGAAGAGAAAACTGAAGACCAGGGATTCTGACTTCTTAGTAGACTTTTATATAGCACTTCAGCAAAGCCAAGAGCTGGCTCTTCTCCCAGAGGTCACTCCATGATGACAGCTGCCTCTCTTAATGAATAATGATTTAATATAGGGAAAAGATGTAAGGACTAATGGGGATTCTGCACAAATACTTAGATAAGAATCAGATCTGAGTTAAAGGGGATTAGGAGGAGGAGAAAGAAGAGTCAGTGAAAATGAAAATTAGAACATAATATGAAGAAAGAATTCGTTCATGATAAAAAATTCACAGGGCTTCCCTGGTGGCGCAGTGGTTGAGAGTCCGCCTGCTGATGCAGGGGACACGGGTTCGTGCCCCGGTCCGGGAAGATCCCACATGCCGCGGAACGGCTGGGCCTGTGAGCCATGGCCGCTGAGCCTGCGCATCCGGAGCCTGTGCTCCGCAACGGGAGAGGCCACAACAGTGAGAGGCCCGCATACAGCAAA